CACTTTTCCTTCACCGTAAACACGATCTAGTGTTACCCGGAGTTTCTCGAGCAAATCAAACAAGGGCTTCTTCCAATAACGCTTTATGTAGCTGGAACACAAAAGAAAATCTTTTAGTAATAGTTCATGCAACCCACCCAGAATTGCATCAACTTATTTATTTGACATATGTCTGAAAAGAGATTAGACAAAAGTGAAGCGAGCATTCAAAGTGTGCACCCAGGTATAGAAAGGAAGAGTGATAAATTACTAACTAGCTATTGTTAGTGGTAAATAGAAAGACTGCTACTGAACTTTTGATGGCCTGAAAGGTCATTCATCTCCCGCTCTCAGTCTCTCGCCCAAGGGTTAGGCTCAGGAGGGCAGGAAATGACTGGCATTTCAAGCCAAGCTCTTGATGACCTTTTGTAAAATCTTCATGAATTATTGGATATCTTTGCCAACTTACGCAGCACTCCACTGGTCAATACCAGCAAAACGGCCATGCTGAATCGTGCCCTTCTCATTATCTTCATAGTGATGTTTCCCTGTTAACAGTCCTCCTGCGAGCTACAACATAAAATAAACAATTAGTAGACATTTTAAAGAGTATATCAAGGTTTGGAGAATTCAAAACTGGACCTCTAGAAAATACTCACTGGGTTGTATGCATAGAAGGCCATTCCCAAACTTCTCAGACATGGAAAGAGTTCTCTTTCTACATCCCTGAAAAGAAAGCAAAAATACTCTTTGTGATTAACTTTAACCTTACAGACTCATCTTCCAAAAGTTCATGTCCACTATAGTTAGTTTTTATTGTTCAAAAGAGATCACAGCTCTACTGAAAACCAGGAGCTACTACATTTCATGCCAGACATTAGACTTGCCCACAAGTCAGGCAGTGAAAACTGAGCTCAGAAAGAGAAAATTTCAGCAACGCTTGAAACCTCCACTCGAGGTAGACATGAAATAGAGGAACAAGTCGATCTGTGAAGGATAAGATGAATATGTTCCACAAAGTTTATACTCTACCACTGTTTCACAAAGTTTATACTCTACCACCTTCCCTTTGGTGATGAGCACCTTCTTTGTTTACCTCTGTCTGTTTTGATGTAATCCTCTGCCTAGGCTTAATCCTGACAAATGTATTTAACTCTCAGCGGCAGTTTGGGCGGTTAAAATGGCTGTGTTGACAGTGAAAATAATTTACTGTGGTGATAAATTAACAATTAGACCACGGGCTACGGGTCAATAGCCCATGAGGCAAAGCCAAATGGGCTATTGACTCGTGGCCCTTAAGGTCATTCCACTGAAATAGAACCTGCACTGAGATTTTTGTGAAACTTTGCCTATTGATTGTTT